TCAAATTTCAGATCTACTTTTGCCTGCATGGCCCTTTCTCTCCCATTTATCCTTCATGCTTCCTTTCCATTTGAGCAGTCTCCTTTTTCTCCTGCTGTGCTGTAATAATAAATCACACAGAGTCATTAAAAGAAGGAGAAAACTGGCCATGCAGGAACAAAACAGGAAACCAGGCAATCAAAAGCACAAACCACAGATAGCGCGTCAGCCAGTGAGCAAACACTGGGCATGCCGCTTGCTCAGATTTGAGCTTCTCGCAACATGTGATGGTGAGGCCGGTGCTGCAGCAGCTGGGCGTGGGGAGAAGTTGACTTCTCCCTTTCCTGGACATGTGCTGACAGTGCATTTGAGTGTAATGCTGAACAGTTGAGATATTGCCCGCAGTCATGCCCTGGGCTGGGATCAGGCTGGCCCCACACATTCAGCCCAAGCACGGATGAGCAGATAATTGAGTGGGTGCCTGCATGGAGATGTCATTTCAAAAGTGATAAAATATTCCCCGGTTGATCTGCTCAGCAGCTGACAGGAACGCTCAGGCTAAGCTCTGTTTATTGACATGAGAGTGCATATTGACATGAGAGTGCATGGCTGTCTGGCCAATGCCCTCTGTGAGCCGGCTCAGCAAACTCCCTTCATCCATCGCAGTGGCCAGAACTGCAAAAGCTGCTTCCAGAAACCTGCTTGGCTCCTGATCAGCAGGATTCTGCAAAAACGTAATGCACATCATTGCATCGGGTGAGAACAAATCTCCAGGGCAGATCTCAGTGGGAAAACTATCTGTCACCTATCTCCATTAAGTATTAAAACCAGTTCAGTGGAATCACATCGCATTGTTGGTTTGAAGTTTTTATTTTTCTGTTTTCTGAAACCACATCTGTTTTGCAGAAAGCTAGGAACAAAACCTGGACGTGTTTTCAGTGGTAATGCATGGGGTTTGTGACTATTGTCTGTGATGACATGAAGCCTGAATGGTAGAGAGTGTCTCCTCAAGACTTCTGAATTTCTGTGCCTCTGGGAAACTGTGCGGAGATACTCTGTGTTCATTTTGTTCCCTGCTTTACCCACATTTGGGCCCTGGATATATCTGAAAAATACATATTTTCCTCTTTGCAGTCTTGCAGGAGTTAATGGTTTTATCATCTTTCCCCTTGCTAATCCCTTTCTTCTGTTCCATAGGTACTAATCACCCTTTTCTCACAAGAGCCTGAGTAGTATAATCTATACAAACTAAGATATCTTTCTTGTTCTTCCTTTGTAATAAGCCTGAAGCATATCATTTCCATCTTATAAATGAAGAAAAGCCTTGTCTGATTTTTCAAGAAGTATCAGTTGACATTATTCAAAAACAACAAAACTCCCTGTGTGTACTTTTTGTGCAAAACTGAATAAAGTACCGACTTTGAGCATACAAATGCTCAAAGACACATTTGATCCAGCATTTCAAGCAGCATCTCTGTTTCTACTGCCTTGCTTTCTCAGGGAAAGATGAGCTCCCATTGCAGAGGGTCCAGCATGAGCTTCGATTGTGAAGGGCCCAGCATGAGCTCCTGGCAGCATGGGGCTGGCAAGGCAGCAGCACAAGCCTGCTGGGTGCTGCAAGACCAGTGGGAAGCCTGCCAGCCATAACATGTTCTCTGATCCCCCGTCTTGTGATTGCAGTCACAAGGCCAACTCTCTGCAGCTGGCTGTTCAGGCTAACTTAAAAGTAATTAGCCAACAACTGCTCATTTATTAAAGGCTGGTGGGGGTTCTGTGTTTTCTTGTGTTACTGGATATTATCTGGTGTAGGTAGTTTGCTTTTATTCTATTTCTGAAATAGGTACAAAGATGCCCTGAAATTGGAAGTTAGAATTAGGTTTGTCAACAAGTTGTAAATCAGCGTTTTAAGAACAGCCATGTTTGTTATATATCTGGTACAATACCACTAGTATACTTCTCTTTCAACATCCGCCTCCAAAAGTAACAGAAAATCAAGCTGGCATTGGTTTATATATAAACCAATTAAATACTGATAAAAAGGCACTCATGAGAACTAATATTTAAACACCTCTGTGCCTTTGTGTACTTGATTTTTCCATGTATTTTGAATTTTGTATCATGCTGATTAGTATCTGAGGAATAATATCAGGAATCACCTTCTTCTATAAGCAGAGGGAAAGTCAGAGCATCTTTGTTGCGAGTGCTGGTCCATGCAGCTTCCCGGCTCCTCCCCACAGCTTTGATGACAGCTCATGGTGCATTCCCTTTCCCACAGCTCCAACTACTGAATGTCTTGTTTTCTCAACTGCCTGAAAGCCCTCAGACACCCTGGCAGCTGACCATGAGGAGAAGTTGTGGCCCAGTATCACAAGGGCTTTTTAGGTGGTGACACCCCACCACAGACAGCCTGTGGTTTGTGTCAGTGCTCTAGAGAAATGGTCTGAACAGGTATCACACTGGGAAGGGAAACTTTAAACTCCATCCCCAGGGTTTATGAAGGACTCTGTAGAGCAGTTCGGTCACAGAGTTGTGTTAAATGTAGCAGAAAATATGTAAGTACCTAGGAAAACAGTGTAGGTGTGGTAGGTCAAAGTGGGACTGTCGAAGAAAATCCACAGTTCACACCATAGAGAGCTGCTGCTTTCTTAATCTGCATTTGGGGTTTGCATGGGTTGTTTAAACAGAGTAGATAACTGATCTCTTTGTAGATGTCAGGCAGCCGGCAGCCCACAGACTGTGAGCATTATCATTGGGGCATCAACAGCCACCCAAACTGCAGTTGTTTGTCAGTTCAGTGACCCTGCACTAACTCCTCCACAAACAGGTGCTTCTGATGCAGACTCATGAAATAAAAAAATCATGGGAAGGCCAGCAGCTGGGATTATATGCAGGTTTTGCTGTGAAATCATGCTTAAAAGAAGGCAGCTCAGGTGCTGTTATGCTGGCACTAGGGCACTGAATGGCTTACACATTGCAGTATGCAGATGTATAGTTTAACTGCCAGCACAGGAACACAGATCTTAGTCTCTAGAGCATGTATACCCACCACAACACGAACTTTCTTTCAGCATTTCCCTAAAAGGTGGTTGTTTTTAGAGGCCCTGAGGTTACACAGGGAATCACCAAGTCCCTGTTCTTGACCTGACCTTAATCATCTCTCTTGGCTGCTTGGAAATAGGACCAGGTTGCACGTGATCTTTCTTCTAATGAAATACTGGTATTGTTAGCTGACTAGCCTCGAATTATGCTTGGTTTTAGTTTCCAATTTTGAAAATACAATCAAGTTTCTCAGTAAATCGGTGACATCAACAACTATTTGTGTTCTTATATGGAGATTGCAGGAGAGAGAGAGTGTGGCTATGTATAAAATAGATGTATAAACATATGTATATATGTGCACACATACACTATGTGCATATTTTGTTTGCAGGAAAACTGATTTACTAGCTTTCATAGCCAGAGTGCACAATTGCATTCTCTAGTATAAAGTTGGCTGTTACCTAGACCTTTGCAGTTTTTTCTGCTTCCCTTTCATTCTCTGGGATTTAAGTGCTGCTGGTGTTTTGCTGTTGGTAGCAGAGATTCAGGAAGCACATGATGAGGAACAGAATAAGCAAATACACACTGTACTTGTCACTGTTACAGCTTTAAATAGTGCCAGATAAAGACCTGCAGAAAGAGTGCTTTGATACCTGAAGCAATACTGATACCACATCCTCACCCCTGGGATAACAATACCTAAGGGTAAATAGCTGTCCTGTACAGTTTTCTGTCTGCCTTTATTTAACCTGCCTCTTCTTTATGAATAATAGAACATAGTCCTGAGTTTAAAACTAAACATTGGAGTTTCTTGACAGGAGTATCTTTAACTCGTATCTATCTCCTAATGTAATTCACACTGTTCTTAATAGAGTCTTGTACCAGCATGACTGGGGTCATGGAGAAGCAGTAAAAATGAGATGGGGCAGAAGTTGCTTACAGCAAAGATGTTCACCAAAAGAAATATCGCTATAATGAGCCAGGAGGGTTATAAAGGTGTCAGGATGTCTACTGCCTAAAGTAACCTAAAGCCCAATTTTCACACCATTAACACTAAACATAATCACACATTTCTTTAATAATCTTTGCTCTCATTGGTCAATGAACACCTCCTAGTTTCAGCAGTGATCGCTGATCTCCTTAGGCAGTGTCAAGTCTGAGACATGGCACTAGGGCACCAGTGCTGAAGGTGGCTAGGAACGGCCATGTAACATGCACAAAAGGGCAAGCTCCAATCTGAAATGAGAAACTTTCAAAGTAAAAGAAAAAGAAGTTGTAACTGTGGCTTTGTGGCAGTAGCTCATCTTCTGTTGCAGAGGACAATGGATAAACAGGGAATAGGCATGATTTATGTGTCACACCCGTAGCAATGGCTTATTGCAATGTTTGCCATTGAAGGTTACCTGTCTGTAAATAAGTTTTTAGGAGAACTGAAATACTCTGGCAACATTGCAGCTTTTCCATCTTTATTAATTACCTAAGACGTATATAATTTGGAGCTTAAAAACACTGTTTCAGACAGCACAAGAATTTTGGTCTTCTCAGGGCTGTCAAGATAAAAAGCTCCTGCAACAAAAACTCTGGCAGAAGATCCAGATAATGGCATTGTGAATGTTGATGTGAAAAGCCTGTCTCAAACAATGCCAACCATGTAATGCCAGATGTAAAGCTTCAGATCAAATGGGTTACTGACACAATCCACTTCCTTTTGTTAATACTATATAAAGTAAGTAGCTTCTGTTTAATAATCAGGCCTCTGTCTCTACGTTTGCATTGCATAAATCAGAGTGAAAGGATTTTTACATTTGTTTGCAAGCAGAAATTACATTTTAACTATCCCCATTCTCACTATTTTTCTTATTCTCATGAAGTGGTATTTTCACTGAGAGATAGGTGCTAATTGCTTGAATCAACCATCTTGAAAGGTACAGCTTTTCCTGTGAGTTGAAGTTGGATGAGCAAGGTCTGATCTGGAAAAGCCTTTAGCTGCTTTTCTGGTGTTTCTGTACACAGGTGAGGTATTCTTGAACATCATCTGGAGAACCAAGGATAAGAGGCACTCTTTGATGAATACTCTCAGGTTTCACATCCAGCACTGCCCCAGTCCCTGTGGTTGCCATCCCACCTGCCTGCTCAATGATGAAAGCCATAGGATTGCACTCATAGAGAAGTCGGAGCTAGAAAGAAAGATGGAACACATGATTGTCTCTGGGGGAAATTACAGCAAAGGACTTACCAGAGCCTAACCTTCCTTTCATGATTTTGAAAAATTTTGTACCAAACAGCAGTTGACCTAAGTAGTAATGTCTCTCAGTGAGCCCTCCTTCTTCCCTCTCCTCCTCTCACTTTCCTTAACACCTTCTGTTCTGAGGAAGAGTGTACTGACCCTGCATCCAAGCATCACAACCATCATTTCCAGGCTGACATACTGATGTGCAGCACCAATCAAGCTGTATTTTGTAAAAAATGTCAAAAGCAGCTGTCGGGCCCACAGATACCAGCAAAACAGTTAAGCCAGCTAAGTTACCAGTACTGGCTAAAAAAAGCCAAAACCTCTTCTCATGTACAGGCTTTACGTATTACCCTCAGCTTGGGGTAATCACATTGTGTTAGGTCAGGATATTTGGGAGTTTGAAACTTGGTGTTCCTAGTTTTATATTTCAGGATTTGATTGCCTCTCTTCAGAAAAGTGAACAGATATTAGTGGCCTGAACTTGTCCAGATAGTGACACTGTTTTCATATGTAACTCAAGTAATTACTAAAAGCAAATTTTCCCTTTTGGTATAGAGTCACTTTTGGTTTGGACCCTGATATCTGTTCACATCTTTAAAAATGTTACCTCTGCGGTGCTTGTGTTCTGGTGAAACGCAGACTTATTTGAGACATATGCCAAAAGATTCTGTGTTTAAAAGGGCATAGATGATAGCTGGTTTCTTAAAATACATTATTTCTGTAGGTTTAGTTGGATCCCTGATGGTCTATGAAGTGCTCATGTACAACAGCGTTAGTACATATTATGGGCTTTTCAATTGTGAAAAGGAGAGAATGTTTTCTAGGGAAAAGGAGGTGTGACAACTGTATATATAGGCAAAGAAATGGGTTGGACGCAGGACTTTACTATCCATCATTCCTTTATCATGCTGTTTGCAATTAAACCATGATATGTCACAAGTTTAAATAGCACTTATTACATTCATTCTTAACTTTAAAGCCCACTGAAATGCTACTTCTGGTATAAGGACTTCATCTGACAGGCAACATAGGACCAAGAGCTTTCATTGTTATCCTTACTGCTTGGCCAACTTTTGGAAGATCATGAGCCAGAAAACAGCAGTGGTGCCACTGTGGAACCATGTGTTGAGTTTCTTGTTGCTTAACCATGACTACATGGCTTAAAGAAAGCAGCTTTTGCAATTGCTCTTAGGGGGTCTTCAGATAGGTTCTGTCTCCAGGTTTACCATTTTTCACCTAATAGAGAACTATAAGCCTTAAGTTCATAAAAAATACTATTTAACATAGCTGATCTGAAAAGTGGATCTATTTGTTGGCTGGTTCTACACTGCTCATTGAGCATTTTGTTCTCATTCTTTCTTCAACTTAAAGAAGGAGCTCTGTCTGCTGGATCCTACATGTATGCCATTTACATTTGCTATAAAGCCTTTGATTCAATTCCAGTGGCATTTGGTGCATAGACTGTCTTTCAGGGGCATGATGACCAGAACACCAGCCACAAAGGCATTAGCTCTCCAACAAGAAGAGGGTTATGTGAAAAGATCTGTATACACCTGCACTCTGAGAAGGAAAGAAGAAAACTTTTGTTAGTAGTAATAACAAGTTTTGCTTCTTTCATTACTCTCTCTGCAATGGCAGTGCAAACCAGAACAATCCAATAGTCAACATAGGCTAACTTGTGCAGAAATCTTGATTTCTATAAAATTATATAAATACTTTATACATTTGTTCTTTTGTCCTGTTTCTCATCTTTTCAACAATGGATTAACACAGATTTCAAAACAAAAAGTTTAAATTGAAGAGGCCAGTCAGCAAATCCACTTCTCTCACACACAGCAGGTTCTTTTTTATCTCTTGCTCTGATACACAAACAGATCCACACCAGTCAATGGTGTAGAGTTTTTTGGGGGTTTTTTTGTGTGTTTGTTGTTGGTTGTCTGGTTTTTTGTTTGTTTGTTTGTTTTGGTGGGTTTTTGTTTGGTGGGTTTTTTGTTTGTTTTTTTTTGTTTGCTTGTTTGGGGTTTTGTTATTTGTTTTTGGTTGGTTTTGTTTTGCTTTGCTTTGCTTTGCTTTGCTTTGCTTTGCTTTGCTTTGCTTTGCTTTGCTTTGCTTTGCTTTGCTTTGCTTTGCTTTGCTTTGTTTTGTTTTGTTTTGTTTTGTTTTGTCCTGGTATGCTGTATTAAATATTTAAATCAAATTTGCCTGGACAAGCATGCAGATATTTTCTGTTGCATGTTCTGAAGAGAGTTCTTTTCATGTTCTCATTTTGCAGACCAATTGGATCTGCTGTAATTATGACAAGCACATGCTCACCACAATGGAACCAGCAAGTCCTCTGTCCCTAAAGAGCTGCAAACATCAGGAGGTTCTGATACCAGTGTGAGACATGGGGCAAGCAGTTTTATAAGCACAGATTCCTGCATGTATAAGCCAAGGTTACAACAACATTTGAGTAGGTTTTAAATATGGTATTGATCAGGAAAGAAGAAAGTCTGAAAGTCAGAACACCATGACCAATCTATTATTCATTGAGCCAATAATTTCCTAAAGATGACGTGCATGTTACTGGTGGTCCACAGATCAACTGTATAATCAGATTTCTTTTAAAACATATTTATTTAGAATTGTGATAATAAAGGTATCTGATGCTGTAGAAGAAAAATTGAGGTGAGCTGTGGTCTGTGGCACAGCAGATGCAAGGAGTCACTGCATTGCATTGCACTGCATTAAGTCACAATGTGTTCAGATGCCCAAATGGGAAGTAATCTTTTCCCAGAATACTGATCTCAGCATGGATGAAACTCACCTTCCACTGACAGGGTCTTTGAGACCAGTTAGTAGAAGCTTGTGTTTGCAGGGCTGGTGATAGTAAGCTCAGTAACCTTTGGAAACTAGCTAGAGAAACTCAATTGTCTAACATTGTACAAACCCTGTCTGGAGTTCAGCATATCCCACTTGGACTCTAATTGCCAGTATAAAGTACGGAAGTCTTCCTTAGGAACATGTTTTACCTGTGAGTTATGCATAGGTATCTCAGCAGGTTTCTATGGTACTGAAATTTTTCTCTTTAGAAAACGAAATAAAGCCTTTGGTTGCAGTGAAAACTATTTGAGTAGTATGTAATGTAAAAGCACACAGGAAGATTTCTGGCCTAAATTGGCAATTGCCTGAATTCCTTGCCTAAATTTGATTGCTGACCATTATATCCATTAATAATTTTCTCCAGGAATGGAAAATTATTATCTGTCTATATATCTAAACTGTTCCTTTACATGTCCAGAAATACCAGAGGTATTAGGTTGGTGAAGTTCACTAGGAAGTCAGTCAAATTATTTACCTTTCCTTTAGGACTCTTCTCATTAGCGGGGTACATGAAGATCCCACCATACATCAATGTACGGTGAACATCAGCTACCATGGAGCCCACATACCTGGCACCATATGGGGAGCTGCCATCCTGAAAAACATAGAGTAAAGCACTTTATCTACCAGGCTAGATACCTGTTAGTGTGGTAAAATGTCATTTTGCTGTAAACCAGAAACCAAACCTGTTTAAATCAATAGCCGCTTATAGACATTGTAAATTCCTAAACCAGCCTGAAATTTAGGCTTTTGTAAGGTGCAGTGATTGCTTATGGGGTTCTATAATAAGGACTTTAAGGAACTGCATTTACAGTGTGGAAACCAGGGTGTCTTTAATTTGAGTGCATATTTGGTATCAACCCCAAGCCTGTGAAAAAGCAAGAGCTGCAAAGAGTGAGTGGAAACTTCTTGACATTATCAGAACAAGGTATCCACTTGATTGCTGATCCTTCACTGGTTCCTAAGCCAGGGCATGAAGAGGGATGTGACTTTCCTTTACATGTCCAGATATTTCCCAGAAGACTCCAACTTTTTCCTTTTAGCTTATTTGTCAGGTTGTGTAATTGGTTGTAGGATTCATTCTGCTGCTTAGCTTGGGAGATAGCAATTTATCCATGAATGTAGTGTTTCTTGCTCTTAGCTTAGAAAATAATGTTGTTAAAGGAGAGGTCATTTTAGTGAGAACAAAGTATACATGAGACAAGAAGTCTCAGGTTTGCTGGTCATAACAATGGCAAGGTAGAAAATATAGAAGACAAGCATGGTGTCTTGCACAAATAGAAGTTATATACACCAAATAAGCTCCACCTGACAAAAGCAACACGTCACCGTACCTTTATGAATCATAGAATCATAGAAGTGGAAATGATGCTGTGCAAGCTCATAAAAAGTTATGTGATATCTATGGTGAAGATGCCTTAAAATACAGCAGTGTCAGAATTGGTTTGCAAAATTTTGGTCTGAAGATTTTGATTATAAAGTTGCACCACGCTCAGGAAGGCAAGTCAAAGTTGATAATGACAAAATCAGAATCATAGAATGGCTTGGGTTGGAAGGGACCTTAAAGATCATCCAGTCCAACCCCCCTGCCATGGGCAGGGACACCTCCCACCAGACCAGGTTGTTCAAAGCCCTGTCTAACCTGGCCTTGAACACTTCCAGGGAGGGGGCATCCACAACTTCCCTGGGTAACCTGTGCCAGTGTCTCACCACCCTCAGAGTAAAGAATTTCTTCCTGATATCTAGTCTAAATCTACCTTCTTCCAGTTTAAAGTCACTACCCCTTGTCCTATCACTATATGTCCTTGTAAAAAGTCACTCTCCAGCTTTCCTGTAGGCCCCCTTCAGGTACTGAAAGGCTGCAATAAGGTCTTCCTGGAGCCTTCTCCTGTCTAGGCTGAACAACCCCTAGCTCCCTCAGCCTGCCTTCATAGGAGAGATGCTCCAGCCCTCTGATCATCTTCGAGTCCCTTCTCTGGACTTGCTCCAACAGGTCCACGTCCTTCTTCTACTGGGGACAGTACTCCAGGTGGGGCCTCGTGAGAGTAGAGTATTGGGAGAGAATCTCCTCTCTTGACCTGCTGGTCATGCAGCCCATGATAGGATTGGTTTTCTGGGCCGCAAGTGCACATTGCTGAGTCACTTCGAGCTTTTCATCAACCAGCACCCCCAAGTCCTTTTCCTCAGCGCCACCCTCAATCCATTCTCCACCCAACCTGTATTTGTGCTTTGGGAGATACACAATGCAGATGTAAACTGAAGGAAAGCTTTTTGAAAGCTACTATGCCAAGAAGTCTGTTGGTCTTTTGGTATCTCTCACTCTGTCTTCCATGAAGCGGAGGAAGAACTTGTGCCTCCCCAGAAAATTACTAGAGACTAGGACTTCATGCAGATTTAATACACATATATATTTGTATATTGCAATGCTAAAAGTTTGAAAAGGTCTCTGCATGTTTTTTCTGTTGTTCTGATCAGTTGTCTAGTAAAAGATCTTAGTGATTTCTTCAAAGCTCTCCTTGTGCTGATACTAGTTCCAGAGAAGTACATAGAGAACTTGTTCAAGCAATGCCACCTCCAAGACCTTCAGACATCACAAGTTAGTCACCATTCCCAGCAAAATCGTGAGGTTAGCTGGGAGAAAAAAATTCACAAGTGGGAGGAAAAAACATAGCTAGAGGAAAACGTAATTCTATTTTGAAATAACTTTTTCAAATTGTTCTGTGCAACTGTGAAGTTTATCAAAATATCAATTTGCTCTCTTTTAAATTGGGAAGAGATTCTCATGAAATTACACAATATAACGTAACACAACTTTAGGAAGTTGAGTCCTAAGCCACAACATGTAAGACTTGGATATTTGATACAGCTGCCAGTAAAATTATATGAGGGAACTCTTCCAGCCTAGGTAATAATGCTTCAACTGTCCTTGTATGGTTTTCCATGATTCTTTCTTCTTGTACACAGTAAGAGAACTATTGAAAATCCAGAGGAGAACAATACAAAGTATGAAAGACATGATAGATAAGACACAGTCTGGAGCTTTTCTATTTGGTTTTGTCTAAATCTGGCCCTATTACTTCCAGGCACAACTGAACAATACTTTCAAGTATTTGATCCCTTATTTGTCATGGTTTACCCTCAAATAATTACATTTTTAAACTTAAGCTTATCCATCTCACAGCTGTCTGCACTTGTGGCTTTGTAATGGCAAAAATCTGAGGTCATCAAAAATCACCTTAAGAGGTGTTAAAGAGAGACTGAAGTAAGTTTGCAGTTTAAGAAAATATAATTTTCAAGGAAAGATGTGAATACAGTCTGAAATCACCTTTAAAAATAAAATTAAGGAAAGGAAAGGGTCTCTTTTATGGTTTCAGATGGCGATGAAGCAAATCTTAAGAAAAGTTTGTTAAGCATTAGGAAAAGCCATAGCATATCGACTGTAACAGGCCTGAAACCAGACTGCTAAGGACTGCTTCTATGGCATTATCAAATAAGGGGTCTGCAGCCCACATGTATAAAATTTACTGACCATGAGCTGCACAGCTGAGCCACCTGTGTCCAAATCATCAGATAGATACATTTAGGATGTTCTGGATTTCCCATTTGTATGTGAGTAATTTACACAAGTTATTTGTACATGGGCCACATTATGTGAAGTTGATGACACGCCACTGACAATTTTAGTTACTTCATACCCTGATAGAAATTCACCTGCTAGAAACACAGTGCTGAGAAAAATACAGAAGAGAAATTCCTCCATGCTGGTACAGTTATCACTTGAACCACAGACTGAAATAAAATTTTCGCTTCCCTTAGCGTCCAGCTATCTGGATGGGAGGAACAAATAGTCCTTTCAGTTACTAGAAATGTTACTTCTTGTTTCTCCAGTTTGGTCACTCGTGCATTTTTCTTACAGATGAGAATGTTAGTAGGTGTTGAATGTGTGTTGGCACATGACCCAGGCTTTCTTCTCACACAAAATAACAGAGCATGAATGCTAGGGAGATTCATCCTGAGTTTTGAGCAATGCCAAGCTGTTTGCTTGCCCAAAGAGCACTTAGCTCTGTTTTGATTGATGCTAATGAAAGAGTTGGAGATCCTTGATGTTCCCTTGGTCAGCATCCATGGCATTTGGGTAAACTTGTGATTGCTCTTAGTTTCACCCTTTCTGCTGCTTCTCTTTGCTTAGCCCAGAGGAGCAAAAATGGCTCGTAATGGATAGGTCTTCTGATTTTTTTTCTCCACAATGTAATGGAAGTCACATTTTCACTTCTTTATCCTAGTGATTTCTGACAGCTATGTTCTTTCACAGCAGAACAAGACCATGCTTTTCTTGCATAACTCTGATGGCCAGGTAAGTGTGGGGGAAGAAGTATTTTCTACAGACTACAAACTGCATCCCACATTACACATACAGATATGGTGATAAAAGCACAGTGTTTTTATTAGCTTTTTTATGTCACTTTGATACAGCTGGACTGGTTGGCAGAAGAATGCTTCATGCTGAAATGTGCTGTTGATTACAGGTTTTTGATAGCATTGCTAAGACAAATCCTAACGAGTGAGTCTCCATTGCATGGCTGTCAATCAAGAAGCTGAGAGACTCAACTTCTCTTGTGGCTGTAGGAAGCAAAGATAAAAATGGGTGGAATAGGAAAATACAACAATGCTCACAGCATGTTTCTGAGTTCTACCATCAGTGAACCAGTGGTAGCAACAAGCTAGGGCCCTCCAAGCGTTACTGAAGGAAGAACACACTTTGGGAAGGAGTTAGAGTGAAATCTGTGCAGAAACAGTCTCTGGCCCAACAGTGCCTATTTTACAATGCAGGTTGGAGTATACCTGTTGCATTACAGGCAGCCTTTCAAACAGCAGCTTGCTCTTCAAGCTGGTTAAGCAGCAGGAGATTTTGTGACACTTAACAAAAATATAGCTTTACTCTGGACTCTTGTTCCAAAAGAGATGTGTCAGGCAAATATCTCCCACTAATATCCACATGAGAGTGGTAGAAGATTTACAGCTGACCTGCAGAACAGCAGTGTTATTCCAGTGCTTTTAATTCAGAACTAATGCCTTGGGTGAATGGTGGTCCACAAGACACTTTGAGAGTCAACATGTCTTTGTAGTCCAAACTGTCTGATCTGGGTCACTGTTAGATAGTAGGGGAAAAACTCTCCACATAAATGATTTGTACTGTTTTGACGCCAGTGAGATACAGATACACGGGACATGTTGTGGACAACATCCTACTTTGTCTGCCTTTTCAGTTTTCTGTGGCAATGTTAGAGAGTCATTGGAAGAGCATGTTGACCAAGAACCACAGGAGGAAGGAAATAGAGGTAGGATCAAAGGAAAAAAAGAGCTAAGAAGGTGACAAGCAGCTGAAATTAATGCCTAGTCTCTTGGCTTCTAGTGGCCAGAAAGCCACAGGATGAGAGTGATCCATCAGAGTAAGAACGGGTCCCCCATGCTCCATATGTTAGTTCTTTCTCAAGTTACAGGCAGAGGGTATCCAGCAGATCCTCCCCACTGCCTTTCTGCATGCTCAAGAGAGGAAAACAAAGACCAAAGCTGTGCAGTGCTCCACCTGGATGCTGCAGGGGAGGTAGGAGCATCACCAGTATAGCTGAACATACAGATGATGCCAGGAAACAGGTTTCATGCTGTGAAAGAGGGCAACTCTTTCTTTCTTTTGTCCTCCCACAATGCAAATATAATGTCCTTTTTAAATCAAGGAATTGAGTTATGCTGTTTCCAAAACTCAGGTTCATAGAATCATAGAACGGTTTGGGTTGGAAAGGACCTTAAACATCATCCAGTCAATCCCCCTGCCATGGGCAGAGACACCTCCCACTAGACCAGGTCACCCAAAGCCCTGTCCAACACTCCCGGGGGGGGGCCATCCACAACTTCCCTGGGCAACCTGTGCCAGTGTCTCACCACCCTCTTCCAGTTTAAAATGATTCCCCCTTGTTCTGTCGCTACTTGGCCTTGTAAAAAGTCGCTCTCCATCTTTCCTGTAGGACCGCTTCAAGAACTGGAAGGTCACTATAAGGTCTCCCTGGAGCCTTCTCTTCTACAGGCTGAACAGCCCCAACTCTCTCAGCTGGTCCTCATAGGGGAGGTCCTCCAGCCCTCAGATCATCTTTGTGGCCTCCTCTGGACCCACTCCAACAGCTCAATGTCCTTCTTATGGTGGGGGCCCCAGAACTGGATGCAGTACTCCAACTGGGGTCTCACCAGAGCAGAGTAGAGGGGCAGAATCACCTCCCTCGGCCTGCAGACCATGCTTGTGCACAACAAGCTTTCAGATCGGTAAGGTACTTCCTTGTGCTTTGTGGCCATAACATTGGTGCCTTGGCCCTTCTCACCCAGGCAACCCTATATCCCAGAGCAGCAACGTGATGTGCTTGCTCAAAACCCTTAAGGAAGCTTTCCCTGCCCCAAATAACCCATGCACTACTATGCTGCCTGCTTTAAAACAACTTCTACCAACTTCTGTTGCTTTAGTACAACACCACTTTCAATAGATTTTCCTCAAAAGAAGCACAGATTTGAGATGAAATAATGTTTACAAATCAGGTTTTTCCTGTATGTCCTAACCTGAGGATTTAGCGAATCACATGACAGAACTGTCCTCATTGAGCCTGTGGTGAAATAACTCTGTTTGGTCTTTCCACTGAGCCTGAAATCTCTTCAGTCTTTTTTAGAGTTGTCTAGGGTGACTATTTGTTTAAGAGTTTTACATTAAACAACACTTGAGTGATTTGCAAAAACACAAATTAATAAATTCAGTGTTAGTGCATTATACTTAGTGCATAGCATAGCATAATGTGAGCAGAATGAGCAGCACAGATCTCCAATTTCCCAGCTGTATCGGTTTTCAGAAAGTGTGAAAGTTGTGTTGTGGGCTTCTGCTTCTCTCACAGCTGGACTGAAAGCAGACTTTGGAGTTTCAAGCTAACCTCAAATATTCAAAATTAACATATTTTAAATGTTCTATACCTACAATCTAGGTAATATGGAAAAGAGGTTTTGACAAGAGGTCAGCATTGCAGCTATATCCAATGTAGTAAATTCAGATTTTCAGCTCAGAAGGAGCTTCTCCCAGGAATATGGTTTATGCTCTTACTTGCTACATTTCTCTTGTTTTCTACTGGAAACATGGATTTTTACTTGAGCCCTGTATAAGTATTTTTGACAACTAATAGCTTAAACAATAAAACTATGCCTTTTTTTTTTTAAACACAAAGAGCATTAAAAACAGTTTCTTGGCCAAACTGAGTTCTGAGTTGTTCCATGTCACTGTATTTCATTATGACTTACAGGTCACATAGCCACACTTTCTAGAAAGCTTCCAGTTTTCCTCATTGAGAGCTTCTGTTGTATCCTCCTAACATTGACTAGAGGCCATACAGAGCTGTATGTCCCCGTGAGGAAGTTCATCAGCTTCATCTCTCTGAAGGATACAGATATAATCCTCCTAACAACAGAATGCAGTGAAACTGTGCTGCACACAATTTGTTTTTTTTTCAGCCTATGGGTTGGTTCATGCTCCATCTGATTCAAGTACACAGTGAAAGAGTGATACTGCATTTCTCAAATGCATGTATGTACAGAAAGGAGAAGGTGATGCCACCCAGATCCCTGCAAGCACCTTCTGGGCAGTATATAGAAGCTAGCCCCAGATGCCCAGATGTACCTATGACTGAGCTGCATGCTCAGATAAGCTAGAAAACAAGGGTATCCCCATGTTTTGCTGGCACAATTTTAGAGCTTTGTTGAAAAACATCATTCTTTATGTACAGTACATTTTCCTCCAAACTGTGATGAACAAGCTGCAAATCTACTTACCAAAGTCTAAATTATAAAAGACATCAGGGCACCAGAAAAAAAACAACACATCAGACACATACCCAAAGTGGACCTGATGGCATGAAAGGGTTAAGTGGGGTTGAATTCAGTGAGGCCTTCAAATCCTTTCCCATCAGCCTGGACTGCATGGAATGCTTTGTTAGCTTGCTACAGTGCCAATATTTTCTTACCTCAGGAAATTTCTTCTTTTGTAAATATTCTGTCATTGCAGGAAAAAAATACTTTGCATAACCTTCATTGAGACTGTATATCTTCCCTTTCTTCTTGATTTTAACATCTCTGTCCACCAAAATAAATTCACCGAGACCCTACAGAAGAACAGGATAGATCAACTATTAGCAAGCAGCAGAAAATTTTGTTGACTTTCTGTAACAGTTGTCACACTAGAGATGGCAGAAATGCTAGCACAGCTTGGTTCTTTCGGCACCAGTCTTTTGTATAACTTCACAGTATTACAAGCAGAGCAGAAAGCACAGAATCTGTTTTGAATTCATGAAAATTAGTTACATTGGTGCTATAAACAAGAAGCAATTTGACTGTAATAGCTAGCATATCAAAAGAATACCAGTCAGCCCTGAAAGCAGTCAGATCGTGAATCTCACAAACCATAAGGCTACAAATTAAGAAATTACACTGCCTTCTGATTTTTGAGCTCTTCTTGCCTATTAACCAGAGCAGTTCAGCTCCCAGTTCTTCCCGCTTGGACTGAGCATATTTATAAAGGTTAAAAGGAGTTTTGATAATGCATACTTTTAAAACAAAAACCCTCCTATGTTACTGCCCCTGTCTAACGCTGATTTCTCAAATGAGCAGTCTTCTTCCTGCATTCCTCCAGTAACACATGTTGGGCTCCTGGGCTGGGCACATGGCCAATTGTATGGGTATGGTTGTGCTTTTGCAAATTGTTGGGTGTGCAGCTTAGAGGACTTAACCATAAAACTAAATTGCACTCAGGAATTCAGACATCACTTTGCATGAACTATATAAAAAAATGGTCCTTGCTCCAGGCTAAACACTGAACAAGCTGAGATTATTCTACAGACAGAAAAAGAATAAGAATAAGAAAAAAGCAAGAGTCATTTAAGTGGAGGCAAAGACACTGTTCAGAGTAAATTTTCTCAAGTGTTTATGCAAACAAGTAGTCAGGTTTGACTGAAACAGTGTTTCAAATTCTATTTAATTTAAACTCTCTTTCGCTGAGTAGAAAAAAAAACCAACAAACCAGAGGTATTGCAACCAACATAGTCATGTATTATTAAACAGTTTTAAGATGGGGGTGGGATGCTCCAGAACATAGTTGAAAAAAAGAATTGCATAGATTGCCTAGATTACAGAGACAAGAAATAACAAAAATGAGTAAACCCAAGCACAGAAAGCTCTGAAAGACAGTGGTAATGTGACTGACACCATGACTGTACCGGATCAAGCATGAAGCAGTCCACTCCTTGCCCAGTGGAGAGGGCAACCAGTGTAGCACTGCCATACAAGGCGTAACCTGCAGCAACAATATTGCGTCCGGGCTGCAAAGCATCTTTTTCAGAGGGCTCATCTCCTGTTTCCTGGGGAAAAAATACCGTTGGACTGAAGGTTAAATTCTTATGAGAAACAATAAAAACAACACTTCAATAACAGTGGGGGGCATATTTCCTCTTTGTGTCTACACAGACATTTGAAACAACCAAAATAAAGATTGCTTCCACTAGTTCAGGGCAACTTTGGTGCAAGTGTGTGTGCATGCTGGGACAAGACACTGAGAGTCTGTTATTTTATACATGTCGTGCAAACAATATGATAACTGCAACAAAACTGATACCTTAGCATTACAGCCCATTCTATTAATTCAAGATCATCAGAAATCTGAGATAGAACACTGGGCACTAATATTCTGTAAATGTAAACACAAGCTACCATATTGACATCATTCAGGGGGAATAACTGTGAGGTGAATGCAGTAGTCAACACTACAGACAACCTGCTTTTAGTAATGCAGAATAAAAGTGTAGATGGTGCAACATGATGGAACCAAGATTGTGCACCGGTCTCTGCTGGTGAAGAGATGGGTAACTGAAGTGATATAAATATTCATATTATATATAAATAACAAATGCATTTGCATATGTAACGTATGCTCGTGTGCATAACATTCACATGGCATTTTTCTTCAGGCTTTTAATCAATTTCCGACACCTAGATGTGGCACTTTGGTTATCACTGAACAAAAGCTGAAGCAGACATGACAGAAATATTTCCAGCCAGCACTGGGGATATACCTCAGCCACAGCTTACAAGAGAGGATTTGACTGATAGGGTAAGAAAGGAGAACAGTCAAAAGTACTTGGGAAGGCTGCCTCCAGCCTTCATCTCCTGGGACTACAACATGGGAAGGAAATGCTTGATATTAATGTTAATATAAATTCCTCAGCTGTGGTGAGTCTTCTGCGGAGGTTTTGATGGTGGTCCACGAGAAATTAAAATGAGAACCCAAACAGATCCTTTCTTCAGGTCCTGGTTTAGCATATTATTGTTCCAGACTCAGAGAATTTCTCAGTGATTTCATGGGCTTAATCAGATTGAATAGCAGCTAAACAGAAATTAGCAGGTATAGCCCAAAAAACCTTGTTAAAAAAATAAAAATCAGTGGAGACAGTTTCGCATAGGAAATAAAATATTTGATGAATATTGAGTAAATTCTTTAAAAAATCAAGAATGTCTTCCACAGGTATTTTCCAAAGGAAAACATCTCTCCTCCATCACAGAATCACAGAATCACAGA